TCGAAAAATTACAAAATGGCTGCCGTAACTAGAAATATCCAAATTTAGTATTACACCAACTGCCCTTCCCATCCACCAACCCACTTGGTTTATGCCAAAATTCTTTTATTGATTCAGAGTACAAAACTGTGTGCCATCTTAGTCGAAATAGTACACAGGTTTTTTGGAATGCAACTAGTTATGCTCATTCCCTGGCACACCAATGATGCAACTAGTTATACTCCTTCCCTGGCACACCAATGATGCAACTAGTTATGCTCATTCCCTGGCACACCAATGATGCAACTAGTTATGCTTTTTATCTGGCACACCATTATGATACAACTAGTTATGCTTATTCCCTGGCACACCAATGATACAACTAGTTATGCTCATTCCCTGGCATACCATTGATGCCACTAGTTATGCTCATTCCCTGGCATACCAATGATGCAACTAGTTATGCTCATTCCCTGGCACACCAATGATGCAACTAGTTATGCTCATTCCCTGGCACACCAATGATGCAACTAGTTATGCTCATTCCCTGGCACACCAATGATGCAACTTGTTATACTCATTCCCTGGCACACCAATGATGCAACTGGTTATACTCATTCCCTGGCACACCAATGATACAACTAGTTATGCTCATTCCCTGGCACACCAATGATGCAACTAGTTATGCTCATTCCCTTGCACACCAATGATGCAACTAGTTATGCTCATTCCCTTGCACATCAACTCAAATAAAAAATCATACACTGGCATAAAAATATTTTAATTGGGTTAAGAATTTGTAAAAGTAGGAAAAACAGGATCACAACATTTTTTTTATTGCCTTCAGAAGTCGCCTCCATCCATATATATGTACAATATGTTTTGCTTGTTGACCTCCCCAGCAGTAAACAATTAAGCTGACCCAACATATGACAAAAATCTTACTGAAGCAAAATAGCATAACATAATGAAATTTTCACAATTTGTGTGTATTAATTGGTATATATTGTTTACAGGCAATGACTGATTGGTTTATGATGCCAGTTTTGACAATGGGATGTAATTTAATACATCTGGGAGATTATCTCTCATACCACATGTCTAGATATCAGTTTATCCACTGCCCCCAGCTCAGTGCAAATATCGGGTCAACAACTCAAGATAACACTAAATATAACTACAGTTGTAGATTGCTTTATAATTTTCAGTTTATTGAATATTGAAGCACGGCTCTGCAATCCCCAGGATTGCAGAAGTACATCATGGGAAATATAAGTTAAATGGCCCATCCATTGCTTACTATGTGTACAAACTTTACCAGAGATATTAATTCCTTCAGCTTACATATTACTTATACCATTCGTTTTGTATTGTCACTAACAGTTTGTATGAACACATAGATTCAAGACTCTTCTCATCAAGTAAACTAACACCAAAATTGTATTCTACAAATATTTGTGATTGTATGTGGCATAAAAATAAAGTATTCAATGTTTTCAGATTTTCAAAATTATAAATTTGGTTTGAATGGTCTCAGTGCAAACTGGAGTAAACTGACTCTGTGCTCAGACCACTAAAAGAACTGGTAACTGGCAATTGTTTAATTTGAGATTAAGTCTGCAGAATGCGTGCCATGGTGGACCTTGCTGGTGGTTTATTGGTACAAGTCTATCAAAGATTTCCAATGTACTTGCATAATTTTAGAGATGATCACAGAATTTTTAATGTTTGGTCTGTGATATTTATGAATTCATAAGGACTGACCGTGATTGGTCTCAGTCACAACCCTGTGTAGCAAGTTTGCATCATCGGCACTTCATTTCAAATCTGAGAAACTCTCATTGTCCACCAGAATTGAGTTCCAATCCCAATTGTCATCTTCAATTGTTGGTCTGTTCTCTTAGCGGTTAGCTCTGTGTAAACCAGAAACCTGTTAAAACTGACACTGTGTTAACCTGACTAAACTGATTCTCACTCAAATTTTGTTGGCTATTTTTGTTCCAATCTTCTGAAGGAGACTGTAGACTATAAATGGGACTATTTTGTGAATTTGTGAAAAGAGGAAACTGGTGGTGAAAAGGCTAAATTGAGTCTGTGTAAACCGTACTAAACTAATTCTATGAAAATCATGAACTTGTCTACACAGACACTGTGTAAACCAGACTAAACTGATTCTGTGAAAACTGGGAACTTGTCTAAACTGACACTGTGTAAACCAGACTAAACTGATTCTGGAAAACGAAACTTGTCTAAACTGACACTGTGTAAACCTGGAAACTTGTCTGAACAGACACTGTGTAAACCAGACTAAACTGATTCTTGGAAAACCTGACTAAACTGACTTTGTGTAAACCAGAAACTTGTCTAAACTGACTTTGTGAAACTTTCTGAAGTAACATCTTTCATTTCAAGAAATTCTTCACTTGTCTTCAATTTACATTGTAAACAGAGTTCATGATGGATTAATCATCACAAAGGTAGTAAATAGATACATAATACATGTAGATATACATTACATGTGGTTTGCAGCCTGCATAGTTTTATCAGTAATCATAAGTTAAATTCGATTAAAACCCAAAACAATCAATCTCTGAAAGCAGATTGTTGATTTCTAGGTCTTGAGAAAACAACTTTTTAGATGTGTATCATTTGAAACTTTTAAAAATTGTAATCGTGTACGTGTATATTATTTTTATATTTATAGTTAGGGCAGTTTTATGTAATGTATATGTCGCCCTCTAGTGGCAGACAAATGTAATTGTGAAGTCTCAGTGTCTACTAGCCATCCTTATGGTTGGCTGCACACTGCAGGGTTCATAACACTAATTTGATTTCCAGAGCAACAATGTTAAAGTTTGGGTGAATTTCTCCAAAAAAAACAGATTACGAAGATCAAAATATTGTTTTAATTTGCTGAAATTACATGGATGTTATAGAATCTAGGCCAGCTCAAGTTTCTATACAAAATTGGTGTAAACAAATTAACACTAAGATTTGTCAGAATTTCTACTTTCAATATTCTCAGAAAAGAAACCAGTTTTGTTGTGTCTAATTGAATAGCTTCAGACATGAGTCTAACAGCTGACATTATCGAAGCACGCCCTCATACATCACATTCATGATAAAATCCAGAGAAAATAAGCCTAACAAGCATATACCGGTAATTTGAATTCTGAATTCTGATAAGCTAATTATTGGTATGACACCTGTAGTAACATACTCAATGTGCTGTGAATGTACACAATTTGTGGATGTAAGCATACACCCATAGAGACTGGGTATTTGATGTAGATCTGATTGGAAGCACCTTTATACCATGCAAATGAACATATTAAACAAAATTGGCGGAGAATTACTAAAAAGTTGGTTATATTGATAGTAGTGAATTAAATTTTCCTTACAGTCACCTTCTAGTCCAAATCCACTGTATAAAGGGAAGAAAAATAGCAAATATGTTGACCAATTTACATAACATAACACTTTCACCAGTAAGATACTGGAAATGAAATTACTATTTTTTCTCAGCCCAATGGTACATATTCACCATTACAGTGTCGTGCAGCATATAGTCAGAATACTTACTGTAGCAAAGAAGGTAGTTTGTTTTCATCATTAATTTTTTTTGTTTCTATGTTTTTCAGCCCAGCATATTTGGTACGATAACCAAAGAAAAGGCACCAAGCAAAGATGCAACTAAACGGGTAAGAAATAACGATATCCCATCATGCATCTCTTCTGTATCACACATTTATATACATGTACCATATTTGCTCTAATCTTCAAAAATACACCTTCCAAAAAAAAGTTGACCATTACGTTCAAATAGTTTAAGGCATACCATACGAACATGACATTATGACTGTGAAACTTTAATCTCCCGGGAAAATGACAAAATGCGTGATCTTCAGAGTTCAGAAAATGCCAGAATGTGTAAGTAAGTGCAAAGATGTGTGACTTTCAGAGGTCATGCGTAAGACCCCCTAAATTTACTCCATTTATCTCGTGATTATTGCTTCAACTGTTGGTTTATACCTATTTCATGCTACATTGACCATGTATTGTACAATGACTTTGAAAACAATCATCAAGTCCCATGATGCATTGGTTCCAGTTGGTTGACCCCTCAAGTCACGTTTGGTTTCAGTCAGTCAGTCAGTCAGTTACAGGTGGTCACACTGGCCACTGATCCATGGTCTGATACTACTACCACAATAAGAAAATCTATTTTCTATTAAAACATCAACCTAGGTATCACTGCAACAAAGCCTGATATATGCCTGATATGTAAGGGTATGCAAAAAACTTTTACCTCTGGTAATATATGCACTGAATGCTCATTTCATTTGCGGCAAGTTGGTTTTAGGATATGTCAGTTGCAAGGAAAAACAAGACACAAATTCATAGTGCACTCAATATGATTAATTCCTACTTTCTTCTCATTTGTCTCCATTTTTTGGGATTACTAAGCAATAATGAATCTCCCACAGCGCCATGTTGGATGAGTAGAATATAATGTGTGAGGGGACATTATCATGTCAAGATCCTTCTCTAAATCCAATATGACGCTGTAGATGTTGTTATAAATCCCCACCATCATAATTAAACAGATTTAGTCAGTTTTAGGGGGTTTTTTTTGAAAAGAATTTTCTTGTATATGGAGGTTTACATTATCATCTGAAATTGTAAAGCTATGACATCATAAAAACTTGTTGTAATGGGACGCCATTGTTCATTATGTTTACTTTATTAATCTGACTTATGTCTTCCATCATAAATATAATTCAGTGAATAAATATAGGAGATTAGACTGTGAAAAATTGAATATTGATCTAAACACAAGAAACTCACAAAAATAAAAAAAACATTTTTTTGAAAATACTAAATTGTGAGTGTGTGTGTGTCAGACAAATCATTGGTTTTGTTGCGACTTTCCTGACGTTTTCATAGAGAGTGTACTCCAAGTTTTCTATGGTATCCAATGAGATTTCACAGCGTTTTAATTATTGAGTGGAATTTGATTGACAAGCGTCTGGAACTCATGTGGTTATTGCATATCACCATGCATGGATATAAAAACTTGTGAACCCTTACTTTATTTGCCTTTGATTGTATGTGATAATTGTGTGCAATCAACTAGACTGAAAAAGCTGTCAAAATTGTTTCTATTGAAGTGAGTGTGTAAATAAACTGGCGTTGTTTAGAAATCACACACCATGGTTACATTTCAATCTCACATGATACATGTGTCACGATTACTTCATGGGTGGCAGTAGACATCCTGCTGACTATAGAGGGGGCTGTAACACATTAGACATTGT